CGACCTCGACGTCAGTTCCGAATCGGGTTCTTAAAGCTCTTCCGGAAACGGGTATCCGCATTCAGGCGCAACCTCCTTTCCTCGGATAGCGGATAATTCTTCCCCCTGATGTTGCAGGAATGTGGGAACGTGTGAAATTACTGTGGTCCTTCAAGGCACGGTGGGCAGGGTTCGAAGTGGCTAAGTTGCGTGTTCCCTGTACGTCCAAATGGGCTAATAATAGCGGTGGATTGAGACATTAAGGGGGCACCTGCCACGCCCACACCTCCACCGAACCTTCAACAACAGCCCCAAATGCACACCTTTTTCAACCTAGTAAACAGTTTCAGGTTACAAAAATCCGAGTTGCTTTCCGATCCGATCATACGTTTCCTGTTTTAGGATTTAGTATGGGCGTCTTTCTTCTTTGTTTAACTTGGTTTATTTATTTAATTTAATTTTTATTTTCAGTCCAAACAGGTCAGGTACCCAAGCATGGGACAGTCAAACAACACAACTAATCAATCATTAAAATATAACTATAAAAAAAAGGACACACCCGATTCAACGCTATGCGACGCTACCCGATGCTACCCGACGCCTTGCTACGTTTTGGTAGGGTGTGCACATCTATGCGACGTCAAGCACACGCCACGTGCAGTCACAAAGCGTGTATCACAAATCAGTATCGCAATCGCAACGCCTCTTTTGTTCTTAATGCATTATATCGTTAGTTAAATTCAATTGTTTTAAATAAAGTTATTCCGGTGTTTTGATAAATTTTCTAACCATCATAATTAAATAATTTTTTATAAAAACTCATGAATATTTGATCTCGTTTAATCTGGCTTATATTAAAATAGGAATGTTGTAACTAATATAACGACAAAATTACATATACATATTTGGAAATAAACTACAAAAAATATGAGTGTTCTGTTCTGACGCTACTCGACGAAAATGGTGTAATTTTATGAGCAAAACCGTAATAAATTGTTAGTTAAATTCATTATATTAAAAAATGGTATTCCGGTGTTTTCTACCAAACTATTAAAATTAATTTTTTTAAAATAAAAACTAATGAATTTTTGATCTCGGTTAATTTGGTTTACATTAAAATAAGCATGTTGTAATTAATATGACGGCAATTATGCACGTAGTTTGAACAAAAATACGAGTGTCCGGTTCTTTTTTCTTCGACTGTACTCGATGCTACCGGACGAAAATCTGTACAGTGGGGATCGCAGAGCGTTGCATAACATCGGGCAGATTTGCACGGGGGTAATACAACCTTATGGAAAATTGGACTTTGGATTTGCGTCGGGTAGCATCGGGCAGCGTCGCATAGCGTTGCATCGGGCTTAACCCGTATTTGGTTCTGTGCCATGAAGTACCAAATAATTCTGGCTGGGGAACCCTAAAGCCAATATAAGATAATATCTCAGGAGATCCAATGAAATTATTTAGGATATTCCAAAGAAACATAACGGAAGCCAAAACTATTCTATCCGCCAGAGAATCCAGGACTCCTAGAGCGAGTCTGCCTTCATAGTGGCAATGATGGTACTTCCTCTGATTGCATATCTTGTAAAACAGGTATTTCCTGCCCTTTCTCTGTACCCTTTCTATCATATAAGAATAAGATAAAGTAATTATATTGCCAAAGTGTTCTTAAAGTCAACAGTTTGCCTCAGTACGGGTCCTAAATTTTTAAACGCTTCATTCCTAATGGCATGGATGTGGTCACGAAAATCACAATTCTTATTAAAACCAACCCCGAGATCCGTGATAGTATACCTACCTCCTCAATGTGATAACCTGCAATATTATAGACGAATTGGTCGTAATCGTGAATAATCTTTTACCTAAAAGGCTCAATGTTCAGGAACATATATCACTCAAAACAGTATGCGTTTTCAGATAATCTAATCCCAGTTGACGGGTAAATAAGTAACTTTTCAATATTTTTTTACGTTATTTCTTTGAACGGTTAATTTCAGGCAGTGCCATATGCGTATTTGTCGTTGTTCTTCGTTTCCGCTCCACGATGAATTTTCAATCCGACAGCAAAAAATAGCCCACCAATTCGAGCCAACGCCTCCCGGAGTAAATCGCCGTATTTATCGATGTGCCTGCTAACGCGTAAAAGATTTCCGTGATCCCCGGCGGATCCCGGAATTTAATGATCGTCGGGCCTTGCTAACTCCCTATCTTTATTGCCATAATCTCCTGACCGGTTCCGAATCCTGTGACCGTACAGTTTCCTAGCACATTTATTTCAGATTAATAGCGACCTTTAATTCCCACCTGGTTAAATCAATACTAACACCACGGGTCTTTATTTAACATTTTGGGTTAACCGAACTTTAACCGAACCAACAACGACAGCCCGTAAAAGTCCGTCAAAGACCAAATTACGGTTGTAGATAACTCCCAATGGTATAACAACCATGATAATCACATTACAAAAACAAAGGTCAATATACATTTTACTTCTGAAAGCAAAACAAAGTGAGATTCAATCTCTTACGATTCCAGCAAAGGAAAAAATGAGTTGAACAAATTACTTATCGTTAAGCTGTGAATCAAGATTATATCTAATAGGAAACAACTATTCCGGGTGGCTACCAATCATATTCCAATAATTTTCATTCGCCCCGTCGATTGGGTACTTGTAATTATTTATGATGTAAACAAAAAAAACTAATATTTCGGATTATTTAACATTCTTTTAACTGACTTCAAAAAAGAAATCTCTTTGAAAAATATGTATTTTTAACAATAGCAACTTTTAAAACCCGTAGATCGAATGAAATAATGGTTTCTATAGAATTGATTACTGGAGGGCAAGTTTTTTTAATAATAAATAAAAACAACTGGAAGTTTTTGATAGCCGGTTTTAACAAGATAACGCTGATGAAGGAACAGAATATAAAAAAATCAATGACTAAGGCAATGTAAATTACTTAAAAGCCAAAAAGACAATTCAAAAACAGGATTTCGAAAGGAAAAAGTACCTAGTAATATTGTGCTCTTAAAATTAATCAAATAAAAAAAGATTTAAAGATAAATCAAGTTAAAAAATGTATAGATAAAATTGTTCACATTTGTATATACTGAGCAAAAAAGTGGCCACCCCTTAGTATTTTAATTATCCCTTAGACAATCCTCCTTTGATTATCTTACAGCAATATATGGTCCGTTTTAAAAGATTAGAGGTAAATAAAACACAGATAAAATCTTCCACTTGTGTTTACAATTGAGTTTTGCAAATAATTTTTGAATAGTCAACCTCTTATTTGTCGTTTTGTTTAAAGGTTCTTTCTAACGTTCCGGTGGTTTGATTTTTTAAGTTGTGCCATTTTTATTTTCAAATTTGTTTGAGTGATAGTTTAAAGCGGTACAGGATTCGGCTAGTATCAAAGCATTTGTTGGAAGGTGGAACAAGTCGAGGTATGTGGTCAGGGTGCTTAACATACTCAACCACTCAGAACAACTGCCCTAAGGGTCTTCCATCGCTACCAAGATGCTGGAGGTTACTCAAGTAGGCATGGATCAGGTCGAAACCGTATCACATCTCACAGTGATGATCGGTTTATGATTTTTAATGTACTCCATAATCGACATTCTCCCACGAGCAACGAGATCAAGCAACAACTTCAACAAGGTAGAAATGTTAATGTAAGTTTACTCACTGTATGAGGAAGACGTTCAGAAGCTGGCTTAATGCGAGACAGCCTGCCACTGGTCCCGAACTTATGGCAAAGCACAGAACATGTGGTTAATTTTTGCAATAAATCACATCAATTGAACTAACAGCAAGAATGGATAAAATCTTGTTTTTCGTTGAGTCAAGGTTTTGTTTGAGGTCTGATAACTGCCCATAGATGGTTTGGAGAAGAGGTTTGGGCAGGTGTTTCTGTGGACGGTCGGACAAACTTGATTTTCATCGAAGGTTTCCTAACAGTTGCGCGATGCATTGAAGATGTGTTATCCGGGAAATTGTTCCTTATATGCCACTTACTGGTGACGGTTTTATTTTTATACAAGACAAGGTCCCACACCGCTAGGATCATTGGTCACTACTTCTAACGTACTATTCTATTCTACTTCTAACGTACTAAAATCTACGATTTGGAGTGGCCAGCATGTAGTTCCGACTTAAACCCTATTGAACACGTTAGGGACGAGTAGGTCTTTGAAGTAATGCTGATACTGCGTGATGGTCAGCGCGTCGTAGATCTCATGGTGAATCGACATTGGCTCACTTATTGAGTCCGTCTTCACTCTCGGGCTTGTTGAACTGCACAAATGTAGGAGAGTATTTCACCGAAGATGGCGCAATGCCAAAACGCGTTTGAATAGTACAAAAAACCGCGTGTAAAGATCGGGGATTCAACTCATGGCTTAAACGATAAGAACTGACTATCCTAGTTATTTCAACAAAAGACTGTTTTACAACTCCATAATAAAACCAAAATGGACAACGGACTGTGGGTCCGTTCAAGCGTTCGACCACTATCTTAGTCAAACCGCTCATTCAAAAATTTTGCGAAAAATTCCCGACGCTACATTTTATGTCAGAAATGAAACTAGGTACAAAGATTCAATGATTCGGTTGTTCACGAAGTAAATTAAGTCCGTTACCGTAAATTTTATAAAAATCTTCGAAACACTACAAACTAAAAACTCTCGTCCCGCCTACTCCATCCAGCCCTACCCGCTGACTAAATAGACGATGGCCTAGAGATCTTCTGAACAGTAACAATAGCGGCGAAATTAAGTGAAAAACTGACTAAATGCTAATCAATCAAATAATTTTTTCATGTTAGATGGAGCACTATCAGTGAATAGTCTCGACACTCTTTACAGTTTCTTAAATTTGTTATAATTTACCCTAACATGTTACTTATTGGAATAATTATTTAAAAAAATAGAAATGAGACTTTTAAAGTAGATTTTACATTTTAAAGTTATGAGGAAATGCATGTATTTACTATTAAAATGTTATGCGCTTTCAGGTTCAGGTGAGTTAACTGGATTCTGCAGTCTACTAACAAATCTAAAAAAGTAAAAATAGTAAGGTAAGCTATCGAATTAAATTATGGCTTTTCTAGACCTAGTGTAAATTTAAATTTATCAAATCCACTAGTTTTCGTGGTCCACTTGACGAATTAATATATTTCAATTAATTAAGGTTTGTAGCTAGAGGTAGAATTGGTAGAGCAGCGGCGTATCTAGCCGAAGATCGTGGGTTCGAATCCCGCTCGTGACACTGACTTTTTTATCTCTACTAAAAACCTTAATTAATTTAAAATTTTCCGCCAACTTTTTCTTAAATTCGTTTATCTCAAAACTATAGTGTCAAATTAAACGTTTAACTGAAACTTTTGTGTGAAGATCTTCCGTGCTGTTGATTTCTCAAAAACGACAAAAAAAATCTTTTAATAGTTTCTTTCTAAACTAAATCATCAGTTTTCCCATGAGCTATTGAATCGTAATGACATTACTAAACAAATAAATTTCGGTATGAGACGCTTAGACTTCTAAGATGGTGGCTTATAGATGTGGCGGATAAATTATAGCCGGTTACAAATCAAACTTGCATTCTTAATATCACCGATAACCCTTATCGATATCCATCTTGATTTTTGTTTCCACCTTAAAAAATTCTAAACTGAAGTACTACTGTGCAAAATGGTATCAATTTCTACTATACTAATGTCTTATGTTTCATTAGTAGATAATAAAAATCCAACATTTGGAATAGTTAAAATAATAAAGAATGGAAATCCCTTTGTATAAATAAAAGCTTAAAATAAAAATCAAGTATATATCTTTTTGTCTTTTTAAAAATCTTTCTACAGATGGTTTAATTTTCCCAATTAGTATGCTTTTTTTGGAAAGTAGGTAAAGAAATTTTCGAATATTCGACGTTTAGTTATCCGGTGCAGTTTTCACACATAGTTTATTCCTGGAAAATATTTTCCTCGAAATACAAAAACCGGCCATCCATATTTTGTGGTTTATTTCAAACTATATTTGTATATTTTTATCGTTACTTTAATTACAACACAATTATTTTAATATAAATCTAATTAAACGAGATCAAAAACTCATGATGTTTAGTAAAAAATATTTATTTAAGATTGTTTGGAAAAAATCAATCAAAATACCGGAAAATCATTTAGTAATATATTAAAATTTATCTAACACTTTATTCTGTCACTAATGATTTTCCTGTGTATTGGAGAATTTTCTTTCAAACCATCATAATTAAACAATTGTTAAACTTATAAATTTCTAATCTCATTTAGTTTGGTTTACATTGAAAAACATTAAATTATATTTAAAATACGGGAAAATCTTTTAGCGATATTTTAAAATTTAACTAACAGTTTGTTCAATCTCTAAATGATTTTCCGGTGAATTGGTGAATTTTCTTTCAAACCATCAAAATTAAATAATTCTTATTAAAACTCATGAATTTCTGATATGGTTTAATATGGTTCCATTCAAATATGTCTGTTGTCGTTAATATAAAAATAAAAATACATACATGTAGTAAAAAAACTGTTTGAAATAAAAAAACAAAATCCAATACTAGTGACTTTTTTCTCGTTGCGAATACATATAAATTATAAATATAACAAATTAAAGCATCAATAAAAATTCTGTTTATTTTCAAGGATGGAATAATGTCTTTTCCCCAAGGATATTTGTAAATAGTAACCTAGTATTACATTTTTAAAACGTGATTTATTAGCTAAATAACCTTTGCCAGATTAGACAATGTGTATGATAAGAAACTAAAATTACATAAAACAATGGTGTAATGTTTTTTAGTAGCATGAAATAATTGCGGGCCGTGTCATAAATGACTTTAATAAGAGCCGAAATGTAACGATTCAACTGGCGGAAGTCTTCAATTTTGCTTTTTTTCCAGATCTGTTATCGCAAAGTATTATATCCGTACGTTATTATATTTACTAATTCTGTGTAAAATAAAATGGTAGGAGTACCATAATATCAAAAAATTTGGGTGAACGTGATTACAGCAACAATTAAACAATGCGTAAAATAGGAAAACTTCAATTGTTTTGATTAACTCATACAGGTTCTCTCTGACATGTATTCCATTCTCTACAATCAAAAATCGCCCTTATCTCAAATATATTTATGTTATTCACGCCGGTAAAAATCCAAGATGAAATTCCGCAAAAAACTGTTTCGAATGAAAAAAATTGCAATATAATTTGTTTTATTTTAAGCTGCGAACAAAAGCTATAGTTGGCCGACAATTCGTAACATAAAAGGACTGTAATTAAAGTTAATAGAACTATAACTTCGTCTATAATTGGACGTTCCGTGGTTGAAAAATAAAATAAGACCGCCATCCATCTCTTACCCTTCAGCAATGGATGTTTATCGACCAATGACTTGGATGCCGTTGTGTTTCACAGCGAGAAAAATAATGGTATTACCCGATTTACCTAAACACGTGGTTTTTTCTTTCCCAAATGTATTACCTTACGTACCTAATAAATAATTGCATGCAAAATATTTAAAATTAACCGAGATTGTAACGTTAAAATTGGACAAAAGATGTTTGAAACCGAATTCTGTATAAATTACTACAAAGAGAAAAAATTTATTCCATTGGAAGAAACTATAACCATAATTGCATGAAAATTTTCTTAAACACTTAATTTAATAATAATAATAAAAATAATAAATTATTTTATGGCAACTGTTGTAGTTTAATGATGGCAGTGATATGGACTTGTGTGTAATTAAATATACATTTTTCTAGGAAACAAAATTATACGTATTATCTTCTCTTTTCTTAAGTAAAGAGTCAAAAATATTAAATTTAAAATATGTAAAAAATGACTGTTTCTTGTATAAAAAATGTTGAAAATGAAACACATTTCTCGTCTACTTTTGCAATTTTAGATAGTCAGTGTGGTTGCAACTGTAATTATTTAATAATAATAATTTTTTTTTAATTTTCTTAAAAAGGATTTTCTTTAAAATATTGTTTGACAAAGAGAAGCGTGGATTTTATACAGGTTAATTTATTTCAGATGTTTTCATCTACGTCCGGGCTGTGTTTTCTATTTTTTATTTAGTAATTCATATCATTTACATTTTCATTTTTATTTTATGGTTAAAAACATCAATATTAATTACCTAGCAGTCTCGCCTGTCTTCCCATGTGTTTTCAGAGTAGTTAGTCCTACTCATATTTGCCACGCTAGAGGTCTTGGGTTCAAATCCCGGCACATACTTTTTAAATTAAAATAGTATTAAAAAAGTATTGTGAGATGGTTTATACGTATTATCTTCTCTTTTCTTAAGTAAAGAGTCAAAAATATTAAATTTAAAATATGTAAAAAATGACTGTTTCTTGTATAAAAAATGTTGAAAATGAAACACATTTCTCGTCCACTTTTGCAATTTTAGATAGTCAGTGTGGTTACAACTGTAATTATTTAATAATAATGATTTTTTTTTAAATTTACTTAAAAAGGATTTTCTTTAAAATATTGTTTGACAAAGAGACGCGTAATTTTATGCAGGTTAATTTATTTCACATGTTTTCATCTACATTCGGGCTGTTTTTTCTTTTTTTTTTTCTTTGGTAATTCATATAATTTACATTTTTATTTTTATTTTATGGTTAAAACATCAATAGTAATTACCTAGCAGTCTCGCCTGTCTTCCCATGTGTTTTCAGAGAAGTTAGTCCTACTCATATTTGCCACGCTAGAGGTCTTGGGTTCAAATCCCGGCACATAATTTTTAAATTAAAATAGTATTAAAAAAGTATTGTGAGGTGGTTTGACCTTTGTCCCAGGACACGGAACGGGTATACCTTATGTCCTCCTGTAAGACAGGAATTGCTTGACTCGACTGACGATCGGATACATAATTTGTACTTGTGAACGAATTTCCTAAAGTCAATCTTTTCGAGGGAGAGAATGAATTGACATAATACCAAAAAACTTTTTTACATATTTATATTATGTAATTAGTATGTACCTTGCAGTTTTTCATGGCAATGTTGATTTGAGCGTAAAAATTTATGTATAGAGCATTCAGGCATAGAAAGTAAGAATTTTACACAACATTTTATGATTTTCTCCAAGGAAAATTGGATAATTAAGCGATGAAAGCGTAGGCTGTTTGTTAGGTGTCAATCACGAGGGTGTTTTAATTTGTTTTTCCTGGCTCGGTAGCGAGTCGGATCCGTCGACAATGTTGCCGAGAAGTCCGTCGAGGCGTGGGAGCATTGGGGAGCGGCCAAAATTGATTTTCACGGCTGCTATAATTTAATATATTGTATTAACTGCCTTGTCCTCGTCTTGACGTCTCAATCTCCATTGTCGCCTTTTGTTGGCTCTCCTTTGTCGCCACGGCCCGTTTTTTCCATTGGGCCCGACTCCCACGTGATCAGGGCCCGTATGAAACCCTGGTTACTTCACAGTCGGCGAGTTTCCCCCGCATTCCGAGGGGTGTCGGCCGCCTTTCAACCGCACAATATCGCGCAACCCCTTTCCCGTTACTCTGCCTGATTTGCGACAGATATACGACTCATTCAGCCAATAATCCGCTGATGAAGAGCTCTTTTTAATCTTAACATTAAAAGGAACTAAATATTTGGATATGCTGGGTACCATTAATTTGAAATAAGATTCCAACGAATCAACGAAGCAATTTCTCACTTTCTTTTGTTACTTCTGTCACATTCACGTCCAGTATGTACCCTTAGACGGTTTTAAACCGTGAGGAGTGTCAAATTTTAAACGGTATATATTTTAAAGAATAAAGATATATAGCTGAAGGAGAATCAACAAGATCTCGCTTTTATCACTTTTGTTAAAGCAGTCTGTCACATTCCTTTTCTCTATGTCCAAATTTCACTTTAGTCCAAAACACTAGGGGTATTCACGATGTTTGTAAGATGTTAACTCGTATTAACTCGAATAGAGAAATGTCCAGGAAGATCGTGAACGCCCCCTTC